CGCCTTCGCAAAGACATGAGACTGTCCGCTGGCCATCATAGGGACAGCGCTGCCCTCTACAGCAGAAATGATACGTTCGATAGTCTCGACGCTCAACACAGCATTGCCGTCGCCATGAGTGAGGGCTGGCGCCCCAGCCGCAGCGTAGCCAGAGGCGGCCAGGCTCCCATACCGGAGCCCCCTTTCGCACTGCCCAGCACTCCCCCCTTGCAAGCCCTGCATAGCAGAGACCTCCTCTCAGGTCCATGGTCAGTCTTTACGACGCGCCACGAGGCATTGCATTCGCTTCATCAGGACACAGAGCCATCGCATGCACTGCAAGGCACCTCAAAACACTTGCCGCCGTCGGCTGGCGAGGAAGATCCCATAGAACAATTCTCTCCGGATGATCACATCTCGGATTGTTCGGACGTGGAAGCGGCCATGGTGCGGCGCGCCGCCTTGCGCCGCACGCAAAGCTCGTCATCCGAAGCGGAGTTTTCTTCTGTGTCCTCCTCCAACGCATCTGCCGTTGCAGCGCAAGACGACTTGCCACTCTTCGCTTGTACAGGCCCTTGGAGCTGTTGGCATTGCCTCGCCCCGCCTGACGCGTCAGGCACACTCCGCACCGCGTGCGGCCTTGCACTCGGCACAGCATCTTTCACAGCAGAGGCCCCCCCGCCTCCTTTCTGCAGACGCAAAGCCTGCGTGTCTCGCCGCGCCGGCCATGCATGAAGAGAAAAAAGCTCTGCATCTTCACTTGAGCGTTCTCCTCTCACGCACAAGCACTACCTGCCCTGCACCGAGGTCATAACGTGCGCCCTGGCCTGTTTCGCCCTCGCTCTGCCGTTTTTGCACCTCGGTCTCCCCTTTTTCCGTGTCGTCCCGCAGCCGTTTTTGCTCAGATAACCCCGCCCTTCTCTGGCATTCCTTGCGCTGATGGCAGACGCTTCTGCCGTTGAATCCGTGGATGCTCTGCAAGGTCTCTTTGACTCGATGCAAGTCCCTGCTCCGCTCAGCAACGCGGTTCAAACATTGGGGATTTTGTCAATCCCTGATTTCGCTTTTGCATATTCCAGCATATCCGAGCTTGATGTTCCGTGCTCCGCAGAGCACCAGCAAGTGTGGGATGACATGGAAGTGTCGGACCCCCTGCACAGCCCTGCAATGGCCAGGCTCCGCCGAGCGCTTCAACGAGCCAAAGCCATCACAGAAGCATCAGATGCTGCCGCACCACCTGCACCATCCTCAGGCACTGCACCTACACAGCTCAACGCTTGGGCTGAACACGTGCCGCCGCGCCTGGACTCCAACAGCATCGCACAGCTCGTCAAAGACTTTCACCGCAACTATCCGGGGGAACACCTTGACGGCGACGCAATGCCTAGCGTTCGCCTCCTCAGCATCGTTCATCGCTGGTTCTCCCCAGGCAACAACATCAGCTGGGTACCGTGGCAGCTCCGCCTGTCCGAGAGACAGTACCAAGAGATCATTGAAAGCCGCACAATACGCACGCTCCGCTCTGAGGCGGCCTTTCTCAGCACCGCCCTCTTCGATGATACACCTGAGATGCCTGTGGATCATCTCCGCCTGAGCCCAGCATGGCTTGGACGCATCCA